GTGCCAGACGTCCAAAAGTTGCCCCCTTTCTGACACGATTACATCAACGTCCGCGAGTCACACGATGCAACCATACAACCTTGGAAACTGGAGGCACATATGGTTCAGTGATGAATCACGGTATCCCCTCAAGACACGTGACCCAAGACAACGTGCCTACAGACCAAGCAATGAATGTTTTGCGCCCTACTGCAGTAGGCAAGTGGACTGATTTAGTGGAGATTGTGTCATGGTGTGGAGGGCCATCCAATACACCTGCAGAAGGGAATTAGTGTTCAACCAGATTCTCCGTCCTCACGTGCCTCACCTTGTGGGAGCTGTACCATCAGGACGGTGCCAGACCTCACACAGCACGTGCTACAGTGGACTACCTGGCCAATAACAATAGCAATGTCGATCCCTTGCCCTCCAGATTCCCTGATTGGAAACCAATTGATTATCTGTGGGATCAGATTGATAACGTGTACATCAACGTCGTAATCCGCCATTGACCTTTTAACATTTGTTCAGCATGCTGCAGGAGGAATGGAGAAGGATTCCACAACGAAACATCCAAACCTGTGACATGTGCACGAGATACCAATGTATTGCTCTACATAATTTCAATGCTGTACCGATTATTTTCGTTGATATAAACTGAAATAATAACTGAATAAGACCAAATTTAACAATGACATGTTGCGTTTCGTTTTTGAAGAGTATAATTTCTTCAAGATCTAATTGATTTTTTCCCTGGGGACATACCTAAGAGCTCCAGTAAGTTTCACTGAAATCCATCAAAAAGTTTTTGAGTAAAGTTGCTAACATAAACACACCCACCCACACAGAGAGAGAGAGAGAGAGAGAGAGAGAGAGAGAGAGAGAGAGAGAGAGAGAGAGAGAGAGAGAGAGAGAGAGAGAGAGAGAGAGAGAGAGAGAGAGAGAGAGAGAGAGAGAGAGAGAGAGAGAGAGAGAGAGAGAGAGAGAGAGAGAGAGAGAGGATTGAATACATCCCCTCTGCTGCAAACCTTCGGTTTTGGCAGAGGCAATTATGATCATAGTAATTATTCCATATATATATTTATATACATATATTTTTTAGATTCATGGTATGTATTGGTAGTTGTAAAAACACCCATCACAAGGTACATTTTGATATACTACATGCCTATGTTGTGATAGTTAATAAAAATATGTTTTTCTCTCATTGGTGTTGCAGCTCGATTATAGGTACCAATATTCAATTACCCCAGAATGACACTTATAATCATCAGAAAGAATGGAACCATGTTTTTTCTGAATCCATATGCAATATTGATTAGAATTATCAGTGGTTCTAAAAATTAACATGCACTTCCCACGGAAATCATATTTGCTACATAAGCCCCTGCACTATGACTTCAGTCCACCAAGTCATGACCGCATACTGGTATCTCCACATAAACCTACTCGTAGATCATCAACTGCAAACAGATTGATTGTTTTCGTCGACGTTTATATCAAGAGGTAAAACTGAGATGTTGTGTAAAAGAATTAAACATCTCGTGACTGCATGGTATGTCCAGTGCCTCTCGTAGTAGAAAATGGGATTCACAGGCAATACTTGTTCATATGTTTATCTTCTTACACATTGTTATCAATAACGTAAAACCAAATCCTGTGGACATACAAGTATGCGTCCTCCATTTGACATTTGCACGCATACAACGTCATTGTAATTAAACTTAGTAGTTGGACATTAGAATTTTTAAGCCATTTTGTTCTATTTCCGGAATACCATATCATGCAATTTAGCATTTCGTTTGCAAAGTAAAAGTCTCATTTTTCTTTTAAAAAAAAGGTTTCCGCTAATGCGATGTACAGAGGCAAGCCGAAACAATCAAAGGTGTTCCATGCCACTGCTGGAAGTAAGTACTTATTAACATTTAGTAATCTTTTAGAGTTGCTTGCATAACAACTATTACAGCCTGTAAACGAAATGACGTAAAATATTACAGGGATGCACCTTATAGGAAGCAATACCTTATGTGTTAATATAACATAAAATAAGACTATATAATGTGAAAAAATGTAATCATATATTATGGATCATTTTCAATGCCCAACATATTATTATTTGTTAGTTTTTTCGTTCACAGAACCCCTGAAAAAAGATTCAACGGATATATTCATCAGCACAGCAGCACAAAGCACAGACGCTGCCACCGATACATCCTTTGTGATATCTTTTGATTCAAAGACGCTTCTCGACGGTACAAATGGGAAAGTAGTTGAAGCAGGAATTCTTGTTATGAAGACGAGTGGTAAGCGAAAAGATCTGTTTGACTCATGTCTTGGAGTGATTCTTGTGTACAAGCTGATCCGCTTCTATATTATGACATCCAGTGTGAAATAGCATAACCTCAGTATAGGGTGTGTGTACGTGGTTGTGTTGTGCCTGAGCATGCGTATTTCTTAATCCACGTTTAGAAAGACGAGAATAGGTATTGGCGCAGTGTTGCATGAATGACATAAAGAACGGTGGATTCTTTTTACCCTTTTCGCCAACACCTGATGTCAATGATTTTCAGTCATCCATTCACATCATTTTCACACCTATATTTACATCTATATTTGCCTTTACACCAAATGGTATTTGTTTCTGAGGCTACATAAGTCTGGGTGTTGTTTCGCACTGACGTTATATATTTCCTTTAATTGTCACAAGATCATAGAAATAGAGATTTACATATAATTTGATGTTTTTCTGGTATATATTTATTTTGTTCTATTTTGCAATTTCTGGTGTCCCCCGCCGTAATATTGCTGGAATATTGCTAAAAGCGGCGTAAAACCATACTCACTCACTCACTCTATTTTGCAGGTAGGTGTAGTATTACGAATTCATGGATGCCCATAGTTAAAGTACGCACGTTTACATATCGTCCAACCTGAAACTCCTTATGTGCATATAGAAACACCACCAACGGACCCTGAAAATGTGACGTACTGGGACACATGGAAGAACTGGTATAAGTGGAAGAACAGTGGGTATAAGGGTTCTTACCGGCCAACTCCGGAACACTACCTGCTTCAAGCTAGGAGAAGGAGGAGCGCTTCTCCAGGTAACATGAAATAACAAAATGTTCCCTTCTTAGGGCCATATACAAATGATGAGTGTAGAAAATTGCACGAACGAAACAGCAATTTACTTGGCGCATCGATTTCTGACTTCAGGGGAGAGTCTTACTTCTTACTCGGTTGGTGTGGATGAAAACTGCGACAGTGAAAAAGACCAGTTCTGTAATGGGCCCCTGGAACCAGACACTGCATATATGTAAGCTTCGTTTCTTTCTTCTCATGATGCCAAACAAGCGACATGACTAACCGTGTGTTCTGAGCGTTGTTTAAAGCTTACTGACGTATGCAGAATCCAATTCCAGATGGATTGAGAACTGCTCAAGGGATCTTCTATTTTTACAGTAATACTATTATGATGCTACTAAAAATGCCTTTCACCCAATGTACCTAGGGAAAGGAAACCGAGTGTTCGGTGTGATAGACCATACGCTTGGTCTCTTTATCATACATTGTTTTATCACACGTTGTATTAATATGAAGGTTGTAAAGAATCTTACTTCATTCTTTGTTATTCTCATCCTTTGAAAATTATGAAAGCATCATGCTCCAGGAAAACAAAGAGACAACAAATCTGTATATTTCTTACATTATTTCTTAAAACAATATGTGAGAAACTGTCATAGGAATGTGGAATATCATATAGAGCGTCTGCTAAGAGAATGCTTTGCAACTTTGATCGCGTAGAAAGAGCATTCTCGATTGTACCCTAATAGTTGTGAAATGTACACACCAAAGACTGGTGCTGTTGACATTGCTCGAAATGAAGTGAAAATTTATGATTGTAAAGTAGAAGGCCTTCCTGTCACTCTGTCAGTTTCCCCTCACTCTGTATAGATCTCTTTATGAAACGCTGGCTCACTGTTCACCTTAATGCTACTATTAAAAGGATAACTTAATGGAAACGAACTGGTTATTTGACCACTATTGTTCGATATTAGATTACCCGACGGCTGACGTCTTCGCCAGATAGACCTGTTTTGACTTTGCCAATCCGATATTCGACAATTTGCATTTCAGGGTTGTGGCTGTGTCGTGTACCAGCGCTGGATGCACATCCACTGAGCCGTTCGGTAACTTCAAAACAAAACGTATGCTTTAATTCAAACGAAGTATTATTGATGTTACATATATACTGAAATCCACTAGAAACGCATCACCGGAATACAATTTTGTATCTCGCTGATAAATGAAAAAAAGAGCTTGTCCCTACTGACACTAAAAGTGTCAATGCAAGAAAAAGCAGTCATTCATGATTTAGTGCAGCCATAAATTAACAATGACAATGACAGTGGTCCATTTGAAATTTCACACGCGCTCAAAACTCTCACACAATCAATGTCAGTAGCGGGTATGGCCACCATTTGCGTCGAGCACAAGGGCACAGCTTCGTCTCATCAATAATTTGACAATCCTCCTGAAAACTTGTCGTATCTGACGCCATATTCTTTGCAAAGCGAGTTCAACTCATGGAATTATTTTATTGTAGTCGGGATGAAAACTGACTTGGCATTGCATGTGTCCGATGACACCCACGTGACAGGATACGCTCACCGTTTAGATAACACCTGGTATCATCCATGTTTGTTAATGATTCAAACATGACGTGTAGTGTGAACATGCTGCATTAACTGTTATCAGCCGATCAATCTTATGATTATTGAAATGACTCTGTCATTCCTTTATAGCATGTTGTAGAACATTTGCTTGATCAAACAATATATTAATTTTTGTATTACTCTGGTGTTAATGATTGAAGTGAAATCAAAGTCGCAATAACAGCATATCATTGATGTATACGTTGATATCGCATCAGCATTTGAAAAATATACTTATTGCAACAACAATCTTAATTAACGCTAAATTAATTGCGGTTTAAACTTCTTCATTTCTTATAGCACTTGATGGATGATCGCCTTTGGGGTGATCACAGCTCTCCTGCTTTGTGTCATCATAATCCTTGTTATATATTTGTGAGTACCATGCCTTGTTTGGAACAACAGTTCTCAATATACGCTCCCCGTTCCAAGTCGCTTCTTAAGAGATGAAATAGCAAACAGTAAATGATCAATTGATGTCATGTAGTTGCACTTAAAATATTTAAAATTCCATGAGCGTTAAATGCATGTACAAATTTCGGAATTTAGTTTGAGCAAATATTAGTCAGCTTTGTGAAACTGACGCTGCCTTTTGTCCTTCACGTCCCTAGTATGCTGATCTGCCTTCAGTTGTTGGCAATCTATAGCCTGTTTTTACATCGTTTTGTATTCTATAGTTAAACGTTTTCAGTTTTTCATACTAGTTTTATATCTATATCTGTGATCCTCTAGTTATTTTACTGTCCTTCGTTGACAGGATATTATAATATGACTTTATTTATTACGACTTTATCTAATATTCAGATCCTCGTCACGATATGGCTGCAATATTGCCGATGTGACGTTAATGTTTAACTCACTCACTCACTCATTTTATCCTTCACATATTTGTATCTGACATTGCAGCAAGGTTGTTCAGCCAGCAAAGACACAGAAATCACGGGGAGAAGGCCTTGCATTAGAGTTGTCCTTGAGAGGTACAGGGCAGAGTGAGGACATCCCCTACGATGAAGTAGCATGTGGATCTACCAGTGATTACCAGAATACACATACGAATAGATATTATGAGAATGTAGATACCAGAAATCAACACACGTATGAATCGTTGGCCAGTCAAGTAAATGACCGCGACATGCATTTGTACGAAACTGTGCAGGCACGCTTGTGAGTATGAGTGAGTATGACTTTACTCCACTTTTAGCAATATTCCAGCAATATCACAGCGGACGACACCAGAGATGAGCTTCACGCATTGTACCCATGTGGGGAATTGAACCACCACGGTCTTCGGTGTGATGAGCGGACGCTTTAACCATTAGGCTACCCCTACCCACCTTGTGAATATGAAGTTACCACGCACATTCAATATGTATACTCTCTTCAATATCAATGCTGTACCAATACGATTGTAAAATACATCATTGTGCTGTATGTAATTTGATCGCATGTATTCCCCATTTATTTGTAAAGTTGTATTTGTTCCACCCGGGAAGTGAAACGAATCCAGTGAACCAGATCACTTACTCTAGAAACAGACAAAACAGCTCTACAAAAACACATACAAAATTTCTCATTCTCAAAGGTTTCACATTGTGCGCGCTTGGCGACAACATTACCCTGAATTTGTTTATATTTTTTGAATATGCTGCATGTGTATTGGTGACCGTTTCCTGGTCCTTGATTGCAACCGTCACAAATACATGCAAGTGCGAGTCAATTGTTCACTTGAATGAGTACGATACAGGAACTTATAATACAGATCAAAATAGGGAAGAGCACCGGATGTCATTTTCGTTGTCACTGATGCACCAATTCTCGAAATATTCTACTCGTGTCCACCTTAAAGCCACGTGGAAGGTTAATGAGGTCTTAATGCTGTAAATCTGATCAGACTACTTTAATCAGACCGAACGACTTCTTTAACTGGTAGAAAGTGCCACTGATCAGGCTGGATAACACTAAGCCCTATGCGAACACTTGGCATCATGAGTATTTGGATAGTCATTTAACTGCTATGACGTGCAATGTACCAACTTTTCTTTATGTATGGAGGTATGCCAATAAAGCGGATCCCAACGACCGCAAATGCCATAGACAATTTGAACAACACGGAAGCTGGTTACAATAGTGTTCGTGTACATCTATTACTCCCTTGGTTTTTATCTGACACACGAACAATGCATCCAGAGGGTTTCTTTTCCCTCCTAAACAATCACACATAAGTAGAACATGCATAGTATAAGTGATAGGATGCAATTTAATATAGCACGAATTCCTCTTTGTTCACAGCGGCGTTTAAATCATTCCCCACAATGAGTCTATTCCCCACCAACCAAAGGTTGATATCAAGAGTAACGTAATGGATACACAGAAACACAATAAACCAAGTCAACAACCGATTCATATATTTTGCCTTTTCTCATGCATGATAAAGTGCCTTTTTAACCAGAAATCAATGGATTAATGCACACCATTATAAACTGGGGAAATAAAATCTCTTTTTGACCAAAAGATGAACAAACATTCAACGCTCATGCATGCATCTTCAGTCAGCGTTTATGGTGCTGCATAAGGTATAGTGCACAATAATAAGGTAACTGATAACTGTTACCCGTGCGCTATTCTACCGAGAGTATAAATCGCTCTGCCTCCCAGATGAAGACCACAATGGTAACTATTGCATCTTGCACCAACAAATTGTCGGGATTTGCATTATTACAAAGGACATTCTATGCCATAGAACGATATGGAATCCGTCAACATTCATACATAGCTGGCATTTTCGACAAGGTAATCCACTGAAAACTGTTCATATTGATAGCTCTGTAGTTCGAGTTTGTTTGGTTATGCGTCCACTTCATATGTACATGTAGTTCAATTTACATCATCTCACATCAAGTACAATTTCATGATAATATAGCTCATCAACTATACGAATACTTCGACCACGGAATTGGTACATAAGCGGTCTGCTCCACATTTAGGGAACGTAAATGTTAAATACCATGTGAACTGAGAAGGTAAGGTGAAATAAGGTTGACTATTGTAACGTATGTGTCTGGCTGCTCACAGTCGTCTTGCCTGAAGGCAGAGATAACATGCGGAAGTTTGATATCAACTCACACATTGTCCTTTGATTACCCCATAATGCGGAGCACCAGGTGGGGTACCAAAATATATCACGAAGTAACGTCTTTGGTATGGCGCTGATCAGGACATCGAACAACAGACCTTTGGCTCTTCAGGAAGACACGCTATCCACATGAATATGTAATTAATATGATTAGATAAATTCTGTTTCATCTGCATTTCTTACATGACAAACATAACATGATGAGCTGAATACAGTTTCACCTCTATTCCTAACGAAGCACATATAACATGAATAGCAGAATGCTGTTTCATTTTTTTCCTAGCAAGACACATATAAGGTGATCAGTTGATCTCCGTTTCATCTGCATTCCTAACTATGCAAACATAACATGATTAGTTGAATTTCACCTCTATTCCTAACGAGGCACATATATCATGATTGTTTGAATTCTGTTTCACCTCTATTCCTAACGAGGCACATATATCATGATTAGTTGAATTCTGTTTCGCCTCTATTCCTAACGTGACACATATATCTTGATTAGTTGAATTCTGTTTCACCTCTATTCCTAACGTGGTACATATTACAAGATTAGTTGAATTCTCTGTCGCCTCTATTTCTAACATACATACAAATACAATGATTAAATCATCCACTGCTGAAGATGTTTGAGTTTAATTTGCCTTGATATTGCACAGGTATTACTACAATCTTAACGGGGTCTTTAGTGATACTATAGCAATATTATGACAGAAGAAACCAGAAATGACCCATTTTGTATAATCGAACCCGGTCGTTCGGCTTGACGATCAAATCCTTTAGTAACAAGCTTGTGCAATCGTCACTCAAACACTTTCGCACTGTATACCAAATTCTAGAAGAATATAATGAAGTACAACTGTTGGTAAATTGAACTTAACGGAGTAGATGACACACGTAAAGATTTGACCTGAAGTATTGAGTACATGTCACCAGTGTTTGTGTACGCTACCTAACATATCGAGCTTATCACAAACTGTCAGCCGGGGACGTCACATGCCTGAATATCTTGTCAACTGTACAATGAGGAAGTAGTTTACAACAAACGCCTCCTGAATTTTACATGCAGTAGTGTGGGATCATGTAAGCAGCCAGTACTTCTCATCGGATGTACCTGTCGTTGTCTCCAGAATGAATCCAGGATTAGGATTCTGTTGCCTCCTGCTCTTCTCGGTGGTCTATGCGGTAGGTTATACACGCATGTTATGTTCGTGTCCCAGTTTCAGTTTGGAACCAAGAAATATGATACATGATCTTGAAAACACCAACTCTCTGTTTGCTGGGAGCATTTTCATGGAGGACAAATGTTATAACAACTATGTTGATCGCAGTTTTAGTTTGCTATCGAGTCAGTCAAATCTCTCGACATTTAGCGAGCCAAAGGTTAGATTCATATAATATCTCTTTTCGTACTGTATTTCTGTTTCTAAGACTGCAACGTTAAACAATGATTCACTCTCAATGAAGTGTGCAAATACAGATAATAAGTTTCAAGACTGTTGAGGCAAACATCATATCACTAGCTACCCAGCCAATAATCTCGCCGATACACAATTAATGCCCTGCAGTCAATATTGTACGTCCTTTTCGTCAAATTTGACAATACACATCTGAACACAGTAATCCACAGGTATTACCAAATATATTTTGTTGTATATTCTTTCGTTTTAGCAAAGATTTTCAAGTTTAGGTAAGTTAGTCGGTGACTAAGTGAGTTTGCGTTCAGTACAGATAAGAATATATTGCAAGTCAATGATGCTCGAAGTTTTCAAGGAGACATCTTTCTGGCACTGCTAATATAACCCCATGTGAGCACTGACCTGTTTTTAGTGTTTTAGTAATTCTTTCAAATGATTCATTTTAGTTTATTTACAATGTTTCAACAAGATATAGGGAACCGACACTAGTTTACATGGTCATAATTTGTATCTGGAGCTACTAGGAATCCCAAAAAACTGTACCAATCCATAGACTGTATTAACCATAGTTCTACTTGGTGGCCAGGTCGAATGTATTGGGGTGGTTCTCTCCTTATATGTTGGATGTATTTTGCTATCATCATAATAGATAGAGAAGTGTTGAATGGTATATCCAAACAAAGAGATTAACATATTTGCATGGAATAAATGCAATTTGAAATAACGCTTTCGTCCAATATTTGGTACTACTTTAGAAAAATTAATCTTTGCCAGCACTAATTCTATATGCTGACTGCATGAAAGCGAGGTTGGTTTAACTATCATGCAGGGTCAGGTAATCCATAAAAAACGCTGCCTAAACACGCAACGTTCATAAGTACCGCCTGCCACAGCCTGACTCGCACACATACGCCTAAAGGAACACAAACCCTCTCCAGAAAGAAGATATTGAGTTCGAAATTACATCAGCTATCCAAAACCAGCAAGAAACGAACCTTCACATTCGCAACTGGAAGAGTTCGTGTTCATTTTACTCCGTTCTTCAACCGGTGGGAAGGGGGAAGGTTAAGGCCTTCGCTCGTTTAGTCATAGATCAATGTGCATATACAATAGAAAGTGTTTTATAACAATATCACTATAATAATAATATCCTCGTCAAAGTATATTGTACTGAATGTAAAATAGTCTTGTCTGCACAATGCTTTGTTTCAGGATGCTGATGTACTGACGTCAGATACACCTCTTATATCTTCCTCACTCTCACCTTTACCACCATCAAGTCAAAATTCACCATCTACATCGACAACATGGACAACAGCAACATCACCACAACTAACGTCAACACCAACACCAACACCACCACCACCACCGACACCTACTACGAAATACACGCCTTGTATTATTCTTGGCAAGTCATGTCAGAAGCTCCAGTCGTGTTGTCAAGCTGAACATGCGACGTGTTACAGCAGTATCTGTCAGTGTGAAGAGAACTTCTTTCAGGATGGGACGGCATGTAGTAATGGTGAGTCCAAAGTAGTGTTTCATCAGATTGTCGATTGTGGATGAGTGAATAAAGTCTTACAGATGAATCACAGATAAATGATGGCGAAAACAATCCCTACATAACATATATAGTATGACCAGAAATTATTGAGAATTTTAGGAATGTGTTTAATTGGATTTCTAGTATAAACAACCTTGACCAGCTATCAAGTGCTTGGTTTCATTCAAGAGAGACAACTCTGTTAATCATTTTTCATTAGTTTGTGAAGAGTTATCCCCCTTTCTTTACTTGCTAGCAGACGACATTTTCAGTGATCCTTAGTATGGATGATTTAGAGAACAGGAAGTAGATTTTAGAGTATTATAACAAGGACATCAGATCAGCTAAAGTGATTTCAAGTAGAACAGGCATCCCTTTGTCCACTGTTTATCGTGTTTTGAAAAATATTGCAAATGGACATGGCATTGAACACCAGGGAGGCGCAGGTAGGCCCAGAAAATTGACTGTCGGTGACAGGAGGCGGCTTGGTATTCTTGTTTCTAAAAACAAACGAAGGAGTCTAGAATACGTAAGGCTGGATATGATTGATAGAGGAACTGTGGATGTCTGTAAGGAGACAATTAGAACTGAGCTGCATGCAATGGGTTGGCAGAAAAGTCGAGGAATTCCATCACCGATCATGAGTGAGTGAGTTATTATTAAACGTCACATCGGCAATATTTCAGCCATATCGTGACGAGATCACCAATCATGAAACCTGAACAAAAGGAGCGAAGGTTGAACTGGTGCTTAGGCATAGAAACGTTAGCTGGGACAATGTGATTTTCTCAGATGAAAGTTCTGTGTGGCTGTTTCCTGATACACTGAGATTCTTGACCAAACAAACTGAAAAACCTTTGTATCAGCGCCCAAAGTACAGTCCGAAATTTAACGTGTGGGGTGGCATATCTGTGTTAGGGGCAACGCCCCTCTGTGTATTTGAAGGGAATATGAACAGTGAGCGGTACACAGATATTCTCGTGGGACATTTACTTCCATCTGCTCACGTGTTCTATGGACATTTTTGGATTTTCCAGCAGGACAACGACCCAAAACATCGTTCAAAGCATTCACAGGCCTTGTTTCGGACCCAAACTATGACATTATTAGATTGGCCAAGCTATGGCCCTGACCTAAATCCAATAGAAAATGTTTGGGGCCTTTGAAGGAAAGTGTCAATAAGAAAAATCTGACAAATATTACTGAAATGAAAGAAGAGGTGGCCCGATATTGGGACAGCATGGACCACGACTTTCTAACTTCTTTGATCAGTAGTATGCCCCGCCGCATTGAAGCCTGTCCATGGTGACTTGACAAAATACTTCCTGTTCACTTGTCTTTGAATCTGGAGTTATGTTCTGCTAATATTCACATTTAACACGTGAGTAATGAGTGAAAAAATACAAAATGTTACAATCTTTAAATTCTCAATAATTTCTGGTTGTTCTGTATATAGGTGTCATACCAAGAACCGATATGAAATTAGTAACCATGGTCCAACCTTGTGCAAGTCATGTCCCGTCCAATCAGTCGTCATAAATTATTATAATGTTCTACATACATAGAACAATATGAATACTGTGGACAAAATAGTGGGGGAAAAAGAAAGCAGGTCATGACATAATCTGTATGAATAGAAGCGAAATGTTGGACAAGTAGAAGGAATAGATTAGAACCACACATGTGACTCAATATACTGAAACAAGTCTTTTTGAGTTTAAGGGAAAATTCGCATGGTGAAACATTTTTCAATATTTCCTGTTGAATTTACATTCCTTTTCAATTTTCCTGACCTGCATATTGTTGACTGATGTGCACGTGAGCCTACGATATATGTGTCATACTCGTACACGAGCGATTCTATATTATTTTATCATTTTTACTTGTAAAGTCACGTTGTTGAATGTAAAGAATCAGCGAGGTGTCCGGACCAGAGTGAATCCTTGTTGTTATAATATTGTACTAAGATGATTTTCAATCTTTTTTAGTCTCGAGACTAAAAGTAACCAACATCACAGCGACGTCTGTTTGTGAGAGGTACGTAACTCTTGGATGGACAAACCCCAACGATATCAAGCCCAACGTGACCTACACAGTCAACGGTCATAGTTGGAACTCATCGATGGACAAGACTATAACAGGACTACGCCCAGGACATCTTTATGAAATAATCATCACATCTTCCATCACCCAGTACAGTGTTACGAAGCAAGGAAACAGCACACCTGTATACATCAGGACATGTGAGTATTCTTATCAGTATTACGTATGAGGACGAGTGGTGCAATACATTAACAAATCTCTTAGACTTTGGAAATTATTTAAATTCAAATTAGACATAAATAGAAGCGACAAAACCCTTTTCACATTTATTAGAAATCTCTGCTTTGTCGATTGTACAGTGATGACTATCTCATGAGCAGATACTTGTTTCAACAGTATTACAGCTGTATGATGATGTTTGTAACAAATCGGTCTGAACCAGATAATCCAGTGACATGGGCATGCTTAGAACATTCACAGCTCATTCGACAATAGACTGTCTTTTAAAACGTAACTTGTGAATATGGGGCAGTTAATTCGAGATCGATTACAGGAAGTGGTAAGATTACATACATTCTAAAACGTGTTCATATTAGCCTTAACATCAATATCATCAACTTAATAAAAGGCTGTATTCAAAGGAAAACCATGGTTGGTGTTGGTGATGGGTGCCCGACTCACGACAAAATGTCTATATGATATCATAGGATCGGGTGGTTTCGGTGTTATGTGAACATTGCTGTCATATCTGGAAAGCAACACAAGTTACGGAAAACCAAACATAATTGTATAGATTCCAGACTATGAAGACGACATTTCTACTATTGTCGACTTTCTGCAAGGTGAGCTATACTCATTTGTAGAATTTTTTTTCAGTTCTACACACAGTTTGCGTATGAATATCCTATCTACAGTATTAGGATAAATTCATATCAATTAGATATAATATTAAGGATGTAGATCCTTTAGATTTTTCATACATATTTTAACACAGAAGTGTTTACACAAAGAACGAACTTGAAGCATTGAAACTTGAAGACAACATTTTTTTTATAGCTTTCGTAATGATGACAATGAGAGGTTCCCACATGTCCCATAAGTGAGTGAGTGAGTTTAGTTTTACGCCGCACTCAGCAATATTCCAGCTATATGGCGGTGTCCCATAAGAATGTATTGAAACTGTACACATGATGATCTCGAACATATGCTTTATAAGTATAATTCTAAGAAGACGGATATGTATCACTGCATTCCGACGTCGAAGTGAGCGTTTCGCCGAGAAGCATGGAGTTGAAATAATTCACTTTACTGGAGATATCGAGGTAGTGTCAGGTGAGATTACAACACAGAGGACCACAACTGTTGGGATTGATCGAAGGAAAACTGAAAACACGTTATCGTGTTGATATCATTCTCTCTGTTGTCATCCCGTTCCTCAATACACGTCCTCTTGGTTTGGTCTTGTTACGACGTAAATTGTAATAACGCGGTAAAATGTAATAAACCGCGGCAAATTGTAATAACACTTTGGTAAATTGTAATACCGTGGTAAATTGTAATAAAAACTGCGGCAAATTGTAATAACTTAAACTGCGGTAAATTGTACTAAAATACATTTCATTGCCTATTATGAAAGGAAACATTCATGATGTTAAAATGTGAGACTAAGCTTTATAAAAATCACAACCCGGACCTTGATAACATCGGCAGGAGCCGATAATTGTAACAAACTGCGGCAAATTGTAATAACAAGCGCAGTAAATTGTAATAAACTGCGGCAAATTGTAATAACAGGTGCGGTAAATTGTAATAGCATCTCTGATTCATTCTAAATTCAAAAGAAAGGCCAATTCAAGTGTTTGTTCAACTTCATCATTATCAGATTCCATCACTGGGATGTTAAATGAAAGAAATAAACGGAAATATTTCGGGCTATTTCTATCATTTGAACTGAAAGGCAGGTGCAGTAAATTGTAGTGGTGGTGGTAGAATTGGGTTTAACGTCGTGCATGTGTATGTGCGGCTGCTTGTACTAGCCGACGACGAAATTAAATGTTTAACGTCGGCTTCTGGCGTAAGCCAATTTCGCCGACGGGGTAGGTGGGAGCTAATGTAATAAGTAATAAATGTTAATAAGGGATAAACCACCTTACCCCAAAAAATATAAATGATGGGGCGTTAAACCTAAGTTGAATTTGGAATAAAAAACGTTTATAAACATAAATAGAAATAAAAATAATAAAAAGCCAAGTTAAAAAAAAAGAAGAAAGGAGGGATAAATAGGAATAGTGATTGTTAATAAGTAAGAGATCAGGAGTTGAAATAAACGATAGGTGACATAAAAGGGGCCTGGGGGTGGGGAATGGGGGTGGAGGACGGGGGAGGGATGAATACCGGACATGTATAGCATAGGGGGCAGATATTTAAATGCAGTTAAGCTGCATAAGTTATATAAGGGGATATATAAAGAATGAGTTAAAAAAAAAGGTATTAAGTTGGACCGGGAGGGGGGGGGGGGCTGAGGGGACCGAGGGAGGCCCAATGAGGCATAGGCCGGGTTGAGGGACAAGCGGTGGTAGTAAGCTGGCTGGCGAGTGACCTTGACCTTGGCAGTATGGGCTTGTGACGGGTTGTTCACATTAGCGAGAGGGGAGAGCGAGCGTGGCGTGTGCAGAGAATTGATAAATGAAATTGAGAGCCGTGTCTTAAGTTGTAGGGGGGCAGAATGGATAACTGAGGTTTGAACGGCTGGCCTGAATGTTGCAGTGAGTGGGAGGTGAGAGAGGTGGCTGTAGCTTATTTAATGAGTTCTAGATTCTTTTTAGAAGGCTTGAGTTTTGTAGAAATGATGTTAAGGCCTTGAAGATACTTGTTGTGTTGTGTGGGTTGAGGAGTAGTGGGATGTTATTGTGATATTTAGAGAGAATGCTGTTTGTCTTTTGTAGCTGGCAGTGTATGAGTATGTGATTTATGTCTTCTTGGGTATTACAGTGTGTGCATAATCCATCTGCATGTCTATTTTGTTTGTAAAGTGTGTGGTTGAGGTTTGTGATGCCTGTGATGAGTCTGTTTATGGCCGTGTCAATATTTTTAATGTTTGAGAATGTAGGGATTTTCCTTAAGGGTGATTTTATAATGGAAGTAACCCATGTTGATTTGTTGTTGTTTATGTTGTGTTGAAAGTCAGTATGAAGAATATTTGATTTAATGAGTTGTTTAGTTTCTGTTTTGGATGTATGAAAGTTTATATTTGGTGATTTGTGTGTTGTTGCTAATTTGGCTGCTGTATCTGCTGTGTCGTTTCCTAATATGTTTGAATGGCCTGGTATCCAGGTGAAAGTTATGTTTTTATTGGCTCGTTTAAGTGAGTCGGTTTGGATTGTGATATTATGAATGAGATCAGGGCGAGATTTGGAGTACTTGTTATGTATTTGCCTAATGGAGTTTAGTGAGTCGGAGAGAATTAGGAAGTTAGTTTGTGGGAGGGTAGGAATTAGGTGGAGTGCAGTGATGATAGCTGTTAGTTCTGCTGTTTGTATTGAGGTGTGGTTTGTATAGTGCAGGTTGGTTGTAATGGGGGGGGGGGGTGTTGTTGGACATGTATACCTATACCAGTTGTTTTGTTTGGGTTGATTGAGGCGTCTGTATATATATGGGTGTGTGTTGGGTAGTTATTGTTGATGTAGTTGTTTGTGATGTTTGTTATGGTGGGTTTGTTGGTGTTTTTTGGTAACTGCTGGAGAATGTTGTCTAGGGTGGTGTCTGTGGTGGGTGGGGGTATGTCGTGAATGAAGCTTGTAATGGGAGGTGTATGTTGTATGTCGTTTAGCTGTTGTGCCTGTAGTAGTTTATGGAGGTTGGTGAGGCATGGAGCTATTAGGGGATTTAATTTGAATTTTTTGAGTGTTGATTTTTTAATGTTGCTGTATTTATGTGTGACGAGTTTAAATAGTGGGTTATGTTGGGCCCCAGCCCAGTAAGTGAGTGTTGTTTGGTTGATTCTTTGTGTGAATGAAGTGGTGCCTGAGAGTAGAAGTAATGTGTTTAGGGAGGTACCAGCCCTCGTGCCTAGGGCTAATTTTAGGGCTTTATATTGGATGGAGTTTATTTTTTGGAGGTTACAGGAGGAGAGGGAGTGGAGGATCGGGGCGGCGTAGTCCAGTTTAGGCAGTATGAGCGTTTTGTATATGTTAATAAGTGTATGTTTGTTGGCGCCCCAGTTTGTGCCGCTGATGGCCCTCATTAAGTTGAGATCTTTTTGACAAGAATTGACCAGGTTATGAATGTGGGGTGTCCATGACATATGTTGGTCAAAGGTTACTCTAGGAATTTTGCTTCCTTTTAAATTCAATTTTTTTGGTTATTTAGGTGCAGTTTGGGTGTAAAATTTTGCATTCTTTGTGTTTTGAAGAGTATGACCACGGTTTTTGTAACATTAATGAGGAACCCCCACTGTTGGGCCCAATTTTGAATATGGTTAAGCATTTTTTGGCATTTTGTAGAGACTTGTTTGACAGAAGTGGAAGAAGTCCAGAAGGAAATATCGTCGGCAAATTTGGCTTTTGAAATTTCAGGCCATTTATCTGGGAATATGTCGTTGATCATGAAATTAAAAAGTGTTGGTGATAATATGCTGCCCTGGGGGGTCCCTTGTTCTAGGGGATGGGGGTCCGAGAGGGTGTTGTGAGATTTGAGGATTATCTGTCTATTATTAAGGAAAGAGTGGATGAAATTTAGAATTCTGCCGTTGATGGCATATTTTTAGAGTTTTTGTATGAGGCCGTTTTGCCAAACCATATCAAATGCTTTACTAAAGTCGATGAAAATGGCCATAGTGTATTGTTTTTGTGCATGGGCTACCTTGATGTCTTGTTCCAAATGTAAAATATGGTCTAAAGTTTGCCTGTTTGGAGTAAAGCCGCTCTGGTCCTCCTTAATTAGATTTTTTTGTGTATATAAGGTGTTTGAGCCTGTTGTTAATAATGCTTTCTAAAGTTTTACATAGATGAGAGGTGAGGGAGATAGACAGACAGACAGACAGACAGACAGATATTTTATTTCAGTCTCACCTCACATAAAATACATATATAAATATATTTATAAAATATAGCATATAAGTGAGCCACCCTTTAAGGGTTATGAGAGACTAATGTATTAAAACATTATAAATACTAAATAATAAATAATTATATAGGTACAT